GTTGTGTGTGTATACGCACGCAGGTGAATGTATGAGTGTGTGTGTGTGTGTGTGTGTGTGTGTGTGTGTGTGCGTGTGTGTTTGTGTGTGTGTGTGTGTGTTGTTGTTGAGGTGTGTGACGGGCTGGAGGTAGAGAAATCCCCGTGCTCCAACAACAACGACAGCGCATCGATTGCGAAGAACATCGAAGGCACAAGCGAAACCATCCATTCGCGTCGTCTGAAAACAAAAACTGGAAATCACACGTCATTAGACGATGGAGAACATATCCAGTAAACGTCTTTTTACACGGCTGCAACTAACAAAGTGGGACTCTATCTCCGCCAATGACCATTTTTTTTAAAAACAGGTTGACACCAGAGACTCAACAGTGACACACACATGAACTAAATATATCTATAGATACCGACTGGCAATTTCCGCACCGAACTTCAAAATACTAGAATACCTACGTGTGAGATAGCCTGCCTGAACTTAGTTAGTGAAATCGGTTCGAAATGTTCACATAACACATCCGATTACAATACGCTAGGTTAACTAGATCGAGATCTAACAGAACAGCATTGGGCCTAATACCTTCAAAAGCCGAGTGAAAATAATAATCTACTAAAATTAACCTCGTAACACCGTATTATTGATGGTAAAAATGCAGGCAAAAATAAACTTCAGGGCGAAAGCTATAAATAACAGGAAGCACAAACATCTTCTTTCTAAACATTAGAGATTCCGTTTTCTCGTGAATCAAATTCTTGACAGCTCGAGGCCTGCCTACACAATTGAAGATGAACTGTTGTGACACCGGCCCAACGAGATAGCCAGAACCGTTCTGGACGAGAATTCATGAAAAGCAAACGTGAGGGAGTCAGAAGCGGCTCGTAAAACGATAGTCCATACTTCAAATCCAATTTTCTGCCTCTTTTTTGGAGAGAGCTGTGCGTTGTCACAACGTTACCAACGGCTGGCGCTCTGATAAAGGACACTTTCAAAGAACGCCTCCAAGTATCAGCGAAATCTACAAAAGGATGTGAATGTACCGGGATTTGTCTTCATATTCCTTCCTTTCTTCGCGTCGCTCTCCCCTCTTCTTCTTCAATCCCCCTCGTCTGTTTGTTTCTTTATCTGTCTGTCTCTCTTTGTCCTTCTGTCTCTCAGTCGTTGCATCCATGTACCTTTGCCAACCAACAAACTCCCCCAGTCAGGCACCACAAGAAGAGTCTTCGTTAACCTGACGAACACCGGTAACCTTCGGTAATTGGCGACGCCACGACCATCGGCAAATTACCAACAATGGCCGCTGACGAGCGAGGCCGAGACTGACGCCAGGGACCTTAAAGAACAACCTTGTCTATTTATAACCTCCTTGATTGACGTTCTTTGTTGTTTCTTGTCCTTTCCTAAGTTCGTCCTACGGTCTCAGAGTTCGTCGATGGTTTAAAAATAGAATAGGTCCACAGAGCCAATTGACCTACTTGGAAATGTTTGCGGGGGGGTGTATAATGTATGTACGAGTGTGTGTTTGTGTGTATCCATCCATTCATCCATCCATAAACTTATTTCATTCATCCATCCATCTATTCAGTCAATTTTTCATCCCTACTCTTGTTTGGTTATTCACCCTTTTATCCATCCATTCATCCATCTATCCATCCATCTTCCCATTTATTCATGCATTCATTCATCCATCCTTTGATCGCTATATTATTATGCACTTGAGGGTCTGTGTTGTTGCGTTTGGCGCTTCGCTGTCGCACGATGGAGACCCGAGTTCGATTCCCAGGTGGAAAGCAGTTTTTTAAATCTAGTTTCTCTTTCTTTTTTGCTGAGATGTTGCATCTCTCTCAGGCAGGGTCTGAGCCCGCCTCCTAAATGATCTAAATTGTGTCAACTGAGGCGTAAAACACCTACATGAAAAAAGACATGTGAACAGACAGACTAACGTACGGCAATTGGACTGGTGAACGAAAGAATGAATGAATAAATGGACGGGTGGATGGATGAACAAATTGATGGATGACAAGGATAGACGGATGTTTCTTTTTTTCAGGTACGTGTCAGGTCTGGAGCAGACATTGACGATCATGGTACCCCCACTCCTTCTTGCTGTCTGTCTTCCTATCTGATCAGCTCAGTTTTTCTCTTTGGATCATTTATTGATTGCAAGGTTGTTCAGTTCTTCTGTGTATAATATGTTACAGTCAGACTATGAAATCAGTCATTTCGTGAAACGACTAACATTTTCAGTCATATCATGAAATGACTGTGAAGGTCAGTCGTTTCACGAACTGACTAAAATTTTCAGTCATTTTTGAATTTTAGTTACATTTAACTTGTGTAACTCAATATGTTTTGTTTTAGTTAAATAATAAAATAATAATAGATAGCATTTGTATAGCGCATATCCCCGCTCAACAGCAGGCTCTATGCGCTTTACACTATATTATTACCCCAGCAGACCATA